ACCATTGTTGAGGAATCAAAACAATGTCAAAAGGCTCCAGTGGGCCAATGGTTTAATTTGTATTTAATGTGACTCAGGAGTACTTGTATTTAGTATAATAAATAAAACCATTGTGGTGCTTAACTTGTTTCATTGAAAATAACACTTTTAGGATGAGAAGTAAAAATTTTTGAGAGTGGCTAAATACTTTTGACTGCTAGCATATGTGTATATATATATATATATATATATATATATATATATGAATGTGTCCAACCAGAGATTTACACAATACTATAAATATTACAGACACAATTGTCTCTTGCAGCAGAGACATGAATATGGATTTGTGAGCAATACCAACACTTTTACAATTCTTGCTGCATTATATATATATATATATATATATATATATATAGAGAGAGAGAGAGAGAGAGAGAGACATTTGTAAGTAATTTTGTTAAACTAGAACAGTGACTCCCAAACTTTTTTTCTCTGGGCCACATTTTCAGAATGAAAATTTGTGTGTGCCCCACCAAATTTTACATGATGAAAAATACATTTAAAATTTTAAAAAAATCATTGAGAGGATTAAAGGGAGATATCTGCAGATTTGAAATCAGAACATTATCATTGATAACTCTCTTCTCCAATTTACAGACCCTAGTTACTATATTCTTAATACTTGATATAATGCAAAAATAACACAATGATAAAATTGGTCAATAATTATTTATAATTATTTATACTAGGACTCATGCATGTAATTACAAGTAATCCATAATAATATTCTAAATTTTTAAATCATATTTATTTCTGGTATATGAATTTTTTGAAACCGTTTCTAAATCTTTGATTCCCTTTCAATCATTCCACCTTGCCTGCTATTTTCTTCCACTGTAGCTACAAAGCACACCGCACATATGAGAAACACTACACCTACAAGGCATGGCACACCTATGAGGCATGCTGCACACCTATGAGGCATGCTGCACCATTTGAGAACCACTTATCTAGAATGTAAAACAAAATGAAAATATCAGGCTGCACAACAATCAGTGAGAAAAGATCAATCAGGTGTATAAAGACATTAAAACTGAGCTGCAGTGGAGAAAGAAAATCTGTGATACATACTGAACAACTAGAGACATGTTGATGTAAATGTGGATGTAATGTCATGACTCTTGCCTGGTGTAGATCACAGTCACCAGAAACGGTTTTAGAAATGCCAAAAATAATCTGAGTTTAACCATCAAGGAATTTTGGCAGTTTTGAATAACTCAGGTATGAAAATATATCTGCAGACAATCCAACAAACTTTACATAATGCTTACCTCCATGGAAGACGACCAAAGACTTCAGTGCTCCAAGCCAGGCATGTAAAAATTCATCTAACTTTTGCTAAGCATCATCTTCAAGCTTTTGGTAATCAATTCTTTGGTAAAATAAAAAAAAATAGAGCTTCTTAGACACTGAGATGTTGATTTAATTTGATAAAAAGAGGTGAAGTTTTCAAGCCAAAGAACAATATCCCAGAAGTCAATTATTGTGGTGGCAACATTATTTGATGGAAATGTTTTTCAGTCAGTGGGATTGGTAGCACAGTTAAAGAGGATGGAATTATGAAGAAATTATATACATTTTGGACTAAAACCTCACATAGTTTGCTGAAAATCTTGAACTGAGATATTAATGGGTCTTCCAATAAGACAATGACCTAAAACTAAGTTTGGCCCAGAGCCAAATTTTCAACATAAATAGATTATTCTCATGGTAAACAGTATTTAGTCACTAACAACTTTTCTCTGTGAGAAACTAGTTCAGATTATAGGAATTTAAATAATAGAATCAAGCAGAGAGGAACAATGCAGAAGGGAAATGTTTCCACATGGAATATTATATTCTGTGAAGTTCTTTGATATGAAACAATGATTTTTATTGACTTTTCTACATCCTGAATGAATAAATTATTATTTAAAACTGTTAACAATATGATTCTTTTCCTGTGATGATAATCTTTTCGAGTAGAGAAAGCAGGTTCTTGGAGTTCTGTCACAAAAACAGTATTTCTCCAGTAGACTAAAAGGAGTAAGATCAGAGACATACTATACAATGTTCCTCAAAAGGTAGTGGAAAGGAGTAATTGCAATAAATACTCTTCATTCAAAAAGTGTGTAGGTCATCCCATATTCATTACTAACATGGATATTTGAGTATACAGTGCAGCAAAAGAAATACATCCTCTGCTCAAAGCGAAAAAGGTATAAAATGAATATAAAATTTGATGTAGAGATGCTTTTTAACTATAAATTTTTCAGAACTATTGTAACACATTACAAAACTTTGTGCAAAAATGAACCCAAGCAGACTGTTAGGTCAATTTATGGCATGTCAACATTATTGGGTTATTTAATGTCAAATTGTATATGGGACACTCAGTGAAGATTTAACTCACAACTCAGTGGTAATGATCAACCAGATTAACCCCTCTAACAATTACCATGTGCAAAGGCACACAAATAGATAGCACAAAGCTTATTGATAGACTGACTCATAGGCTAAGTAGCCTGATTCATTAGGCTAGGTACCAATGTGTGTTAGCTGCTCATACATTTCTGCTGAACAATATAATCACAATATATACAAGGGTTCAGTTCGGAATTCCCTATAGGTTACTGTGGGGAAAATTGTGAAAATGGCTTACCTCGGAAAGGCGTGCGAATCTGTGCAGTGTGCAAACTCCGGTTCTCCCAACGGTAAAAGGAACCAAAATGGCAGCGCCCATATTTTATGCCGGGCAGTCTCGGTTAGTTAACATGAAATCTCGTTGTCTCGTCATTCACATGCAAATTATGGTCGGTCTTCGGCTGTATAAAGCAGGCTCGTTTTGCTGTTTCGGATCAGAGAGCTTTCGGCTCGTGAGAAGGTTGGACGTGCGACACCGGGGGTTTTTGGTCACCCCCTCCTCACGGTTTCTTTGTTCCTACCTGCTATCATCAGTTTTGTTGCGTTACCTCCCACAGTTACCCAGTTCGATATACACCTGAGGAAGGCCAGAGGGCACAATGGTCAAAACACTATGATAACAACAACAAAGATGAGAACAATAATCCGAATATAAATAGTATAATAATGACATATACGGTTCAGTTTTTTTTTTCCTATACCACCTTGTATATTGCCTTAAATAAAACTGCATATAACATAACATGTGCATAAGATGCAATGCACAATATTCTGCAACATAACATCATGAATGAGTGAATGTGCAAAATGACTTTGTATCACATCTGGGGTAGGGGGATAAATGAATTTTTAAATTAACATTTTCAGTTTCTTTTATTTCTTTTAATTTCTTCTTTTTCTAAATTTCACCCTATACAAGGCCCAAGAGCCACTCAAGGTAGAGGGTTACTGAAGGAGGTTAATTGTCTCTTTTAAACAATTATTTTTTTTTGTTTTTTTTTTTTTCTGTATAGTTATGTGCAATGGCGTTCGTATTTGAGAACAAACCACTCACAGTGGTGACATCAAGTCGAAGCCCAAATCCTGGAAACGAGATGAAACTTACACAAAAGTTTCTCTTGACAATGAAGAATCCTATATTTGTTGCCTACCTTCTTGCTCAGCTGTTAGTGTGTCTGTCAACCCCAATTGCCACTTTGATGATTATGGATTTCGGAATGACTGAAGGTATGACGCCTGTCTTATTCTTTCAATTCTTATCATTTTTCAATTTTATTTTTTTAATTTGACATTCGCTGTTCAGTTTAATGCAGATGGGAGCCACCCAAGTCAGAACATTTTTCACTAAGATGAATACCACTTACTATCAAATATATGTATTTAATTATTCTTATCACTGTACAATGTATTGATCCAATCTGATCTGATATAAGATCACCAGAAAAATAATATTTATTTTTGTGTAAAACAAAAAATGTGGCACAAGGTCAAAAGTGGGGATGGGGAAGGCTGGTCTTCATCTGTCTTATCTTAAACTTAGCTAGCTACAATCACTGACCCAAGCAAACTATACAATAATCCTTTCATCAAAATACTGCATTCTTACTTACCATTATTAATATAACAACCACTATACCTTAAGGTCTCCATATGTACAATTTGTCTGGGGTGGGGGTAATAAAATCAAAACTTTTACAAACATGAAACCCCAATGAATATATACAATGTTTAAAATGCAATGTACAAACAACTAAACAAAATAGTGTGAGTAATAAAAAAAAACAAAATCCTTAAATGTGGCCGAAGCATCAGTGAATTGACTAAAAAAATAAGTGACTTAAATAAATCAAACAATCACTCAACCAACACTTGCTCATCCAAACATATTAAAAAATACAAAAGACACTTGGAAAACAAAACTTGTCTCACACCCATGAGAGAACTGACATTTTTGGTCACCTAACAGGGGAAGCGAGTGGGAATTAAACTAACATTGGAAATTAGAAATAATCCTTCATTCATTCCAATAATTATGCATACAGTTACATAGAAATTAAGCATAAATATGCTTTTACAATAATAGTATTTGTATAATATAAATGAATTGTTAATGTTTGTCTATAAAATACATTAAAAATTATTTAACAGAAGAAATGCATTGAAAATCAGGACAAAAGAGATTTTTAGTGGTTAGGTATTAATGAATATGTTTCTGACAAAACAGTTTTATTATATGTATAATTTAATAAATTCTTAATTTTCATGTTTCATATATATATATATATATATATATATATATATATATATATATATATATATTAAAAACAACAAATATTTTGTATCAATTAATTTGACTGATCAACTTTTCAAAATTATAAATAATCCTTCTCAGACTAATTGATAATTTGAAAAAGTTGATCAGTAAAATCAATTGACAAAATGTCTATTGTCTTTAATAATATTTGCCTTAAAGAACATTTTCTGCCTAAATACAGAATATATATATATATATATATATATATATATATATATATATATATATATATATTTAAGTTATGAAAAACGAGGTAATTTGTATGGGTAGTCCCAAGGAGGATGAAATCCTGAGAGCTCAATGTAAATCCAGAGCTAATATTTTAAAGAAAAACAGACCACTTTAAGGTTCCATTATAATAATTTATTTCACCAGAGCCCTTTTAAAGGACACCGGATCATCAGATAGTATTTCAAAAGATGAAACGAAAAATGAAATGAAAATTGATGGGTAGTGTAAGTTTTTGTAATTTAACAGAGAGTGTAATAAGGAGTGGTTAGAGAGACATGGTAGAGTTTAGGGAGGGTTTAATTTAATATTTCTCTCAATCATACTTAGTATTGGGGGAGGAGGAGTGACCAGATCTTGACCTATTTAAACCGTTAACTTAATGGAAGTGACATATTGAAATGGGAGGGGAGAAGAGAGAAAAGAAAAAGGGAAAAGAAAGAAGGAGGAAGTAAAGAGAAAGAGGCTGTAAATGGGTTTTACATATGAAGGAGAGGGGTGGCAAGTTTTAGCAATTTATGTAAAAAAAAAACAGATTTTATTGTTTGGTAGTAATTTAGATGTCTAAAACAATCCACAAAGAAATTAATTTGATGTTTACTCGCAATTTAAATATTTAACTTTTTTACAAATAATTTAGGGATTTAATATAAGTTAAATACTGTATTTATTAACACATTCATAGAGAACACATTAAAAAAAAATTTTAAACTATAACAGTTTGTTTACCCGACCAATAGTACTCTTTTAATATTGTAAAAGACAGTTAAGGTAACATCTTTATCAGTTTGAATCTAATTCATGAATGTAATTCATTAGATTCAAAATATTGAGCCATGTCTCTAAACTGTCAAATAAAACTGGAGCCATAGCCACAGATGGACAATCTCAACAATAGATTAGACTAGTAAATATTTACAGCCAAGCTACAAGCCATTAAGATGGTACTTGAACTCATTAAAAACTCAAACAACCAGAAATTCATCATATTTACAGACCCTTGTAGCACTGAATGAAAAGAGTTCAACCATCCATACATCTTAAACATACTAGAAAGCTATACAGAAGTAGTTAAATCACAAAAATCAGTTGCCCTATACAGGATTCCAAGTCAATAATGAAATAGCAGACAAACTAGCTAAAGAAGCTCTCAACATAATATAAAGATACTCCATACAGACTTCAGAAATAAAAAGAACATATAGATATGTCAAGCAATATGGAACTCATAACCTAACAAACTATATAATAATCAATTAATTATAGGAGAATGGCTTCCAAGTTTTAGAAAATTAAGATGGAAGGAAATAGTTTTATCCAGATACCAAATAGGACATACCGATCTGACACACATTTACTAAAAAAGGAAAATCAGCCAACATGCCAAAGATGTCAAGTACCTCTCACAGTCAGCCATATACTCATAAGTGGCCATCCTCTCAGTTAAATCCGAACAAAATATTATCACGCAAACAATACAAAAAACATTTTCAAAACACTAAACCATATAATATCCTTTTTTTAAAGGAAATAAAACTTTATACTAGAATTTAAATCTCCCAACTAAATGCCATAAAACCTTTAATATCTTTTGAAAACTGCAAAAAAGGAACACTTCAGACTTCATAAAGATCTCCACTAAAAATGACAATACAAACTCTAACAACCAACTTATATAAGAAACTTAATACAACATAACCAGCCACCAGAATCTCTAATAACTGATTAAAAAAAAACTTTCACCAACTAACCTGTACCCAAAACTATCAGTGGTCTGCATATAACATCAAACTTTACCCAAAACAACTATGATTCAAAACGTTTATCTGGCTTCAAATAGCACTATAGTTATTAATGGACAGTTAAGCAGAAACAAAACCAACTCCAGATATTTGAACACCCTTTTGTTTTATAAATATTTATATATATTATATAAAAAAGATTATCTATTTTTTGTTTTTTTTCCATAAAAAATGAATTTCATATATTTATGTCATACTTACATGTTCTTTTTTCTTTTTCTTTTCTTTAATCTCAAGGTTATGGAAAATCTAGAAGTACCTTACTGCTGACCATCTTCAGTTTCAGTTGTACAATTGGCCGTTTTGTGGCTGGAATAGCTAGCGCCTGCCGTCTTTCAGGAATGTTTGTTTTCCTCTTTACCATGCTTGCAAGCGGGCTGTTAATCATGGCGCTGGCACTGGTTGCAAACTATGCAGAAACCATGACCCTTCTTTGTCTCATTGGTATCATACTAGGCTGTTGTTTTACTGCAGCCCTTGTGGCCCTGTTGGAGATGGTCGGGCCTGAGAACTATGCCTTCTGCTTTGGTATCTGTTCTACAATGCTGGGCTTAGGGTATATTGGATGTGGACCTTTAGCAGGTAAGTTCACAAAGATATCTGATTTTTTTTTCATATTTATGCTTAATAGAGTTGGAATTTGGCAAACCTAGGTGTCAGTGGCATTGGTCAAGTCAACCTAGTACTAGTTTCATGTCACCTGAGGATTTGTGTTATCTTAGAGGACCAACTGTCCATACTTGGAAGATGGTAAAGAGAAAAATGTACAAATAGTCTGCAACATGAAAAAAGCGGTACAAATAGTCTGAAATAGCAACAAGATGAAAGACGTGGAAATAGTCAACAAGAAGAAGAAAATGGGGCAAATAGTTAGCAACAAGATGAAAGATGTGGAAATAGCAACAAGAACAAAATGGGGCAAATAGTCAGCAACAAGATGAAAGATGTGGAAATAGTCAACAACAAGAAGAAAATGGTGCAAATAGTTAGCAACAAGATGAAAGATGTGGAAATAGCAACAAGAACAAAATGGGGCAAATAGTCAGCAACAAGATGAAAGACGTGGAAATAGTCAACAAGAAGAAGAAAATGGGGCAAATAGTTAGCAACAAGATGAAAGATGTGGAAATAGAAACAAGAACAAAATGGGGCAAATAGTCAGCAACAAGATGAAAGACGTGGAAATAGTCAGCAACAAGAACAATGTGGTGCATATAATTAGCAACACGAAAAAGTGGGACAAATAGTCATCAACAAGATGAAAGAGGTGGAAAAAGTCACTAACAGGAAGAAATAGTTTGAAATAACAAGAAAAAGAAAGCAGTGCAAATACTGAGAAATAAGAATTGGTTGCAAATATTCAGCAACAGGAAGGAAGAGGTGGAAATAGCAGCAAAGAGAGATGGAAATATCAGGAACAAGAACAATGGGGTGCAAATAGGCATCAACAAGAAGAAAGATGTGCAAATACTCAGCAATAATATGAAAAATGTGAAAATAGTCAGCTACAAGGACAAAGAAAGTGGCGCAAATAGTCAGCAACAAGAACCAAGAAAGGCAAAGAGTCAACAAGATTTACTTATGTTACACCTGTCATAGTAAACTCAAGTTTCATGAGTTGTCTTTGCAAACTCCAAGAGAACCCACCCAACATGATTACAGTGCCATCACCAGCTTGCACAACAGCCTGTTGATAGACTAGATCCATAGCTTCATGGCAGTTTTCCCATCACCTGAACTTGACCATCTGCCTGAAAAGGCTGGAAATTTAATTCATTTATCAGGTGGCACAACATTTGATTGTTGATTGATTTGAATTTTACAGCTTATCAACCTTTTGTGAGTTTAAAGCCAGAACATATTTTGGATTCTAAGAATAATTCTTTTTTTTGTAATGAATATTTCCATTACAAATTTTTTTGGAGATAACTATGATTTTTCCAGTTACAAATCCTACTATTTAATCAAAATCTGGAGAGAGAAGAGATGGATTGGTTTCTTTCCTAAGAACAATTGTAAGTGAATGTAAAAAATTCAACTGGAATTTGAACTTGGCTCTCTGATTTCTCAGTCCGAGTCACTATCCATTACACCATCTGCACATCCACTGACACAGCAGCATCAAAATCAAATGATGGTGTTTTCTGACCCAGATGTAACACAGTAAGCAATACTATGATGTCAGTAAGTGATATACAAATGGTATAATGGTTAACGACTCAATTAAAAATTGATGAGCTGAGTTCAAAGTCCAGTTGAGTTTTTTATGATCACTAATAGCCTAGGGAAAGATATTAATCTACCTCTTGTCCTCCTGGCTGTGAGTTAAATAATAGCAAATACTGGCGTCTTCAGCCTTTGTTGACAACCAGTCTAGGAGAAGGACAATTCTGTATTCAAAAAAAGATTGGGTATAGGGCAGCAACTTCATCCTATAAAAACCTGCTTGGTATGGAAACTGCAACAGCAACACATAGAATATTGAGTGCTACAGCTTTATACTCCTCCTGTGACCTTATACCCCTCATCCAACTCTACAGGAGTAAATGTTAGTTAATATCTATGGAAACTTATATCTCTATGGGATCAGGTTGAAATCATAGACAAAGAACATCATTGGAAAATTCCTAAACTTAAGGAATCAGCACATATGCTAAGCCACAAAAGTCTCCTGAGCCGACCAAGCATCGAAATGAATACAATATGGGAACCAGTAATAATTTGTGCCAGAGAAAAGCGATAATAACAACAAAAATTGCAATATGAACTCTGATAAAAAAATGAAATGATAACAGCAAAAATTGCAATATGAGTACTTGTGAAAAATGGTTGCTGAAGACATTAGGTTTATAATACCCAGAAATTCACACACAGATGTCTTCAAGGATACATGGCATTAGTGGATAAAAGCATGAGTTAGATCCAGTGACAGGACCCAAAGATTATGAGTTCAATACCTGAAGTAGAGAACTTGGAGAGGGGAATTAACAGGAGATATCTTATAACTTACATCCATTAGACGTGGCACGTGGAACTAGAACAGTCTACCCCAGTGAGCGAAATAAAGGGTTCAGTTCAACATTCCAACCACCTGAAGAAGGCCATAGTATACAACGGCTAAAACACTGTGATAAGTATGGCAACAAAGATGAGGACAATAGTTCGAATAATGTAAATAGTGAAATAAGTTTGAATAATGTAAATAGTGAAAACTTATAAAATGCAGAATACACTGTACAGTACATTGACTGATAGTATAATCAGCACCAGCATTGAATTGAGACTTGATTTAATGCAATGTTCTCCTTCATTGAGCAGTTACCATTTTTGTCAGTCACTGTTAGTCCCATTCTTGCATCACCTATGAACAACCACATTTTTCACATGCCACTGATAACTTTTTTAGAATTCACATATTCGAGATATATTCTTGTTACTTTTACCCAAGAAAAACCTATGGAAGTTGTCACCTTGCCCCATCATTCTGAGCTCAATAATCATTCCATAGCTGCCATAGCTGCAATACCTATTTACATTATGTTACCATCCTTGTTTCTGCTACATATAATTTTGGGACACTTCAGTTTATCATTCAAGTAACTAATTTAAAAAAAAAACTGAATTTAACATTCAAAAACTTAAGAATATTTAAGATGGCAAATATGTGTACATAATCAGATATTATATGTAACAGTCACTTTTTATCAATATCAGTGCTTCTCTATTATCATGTGGCAGCAAGTTACTTGGTGTTAAAAAAATAGAGAATTGAATGGTTTTTCACTAATACTATTCCCTATAGACATTGAAGCATCTTTCTACATTTGAACTCAAACATATGTTCTTTATGTAAACCAAAAGATATTTTGGCAAACATGGATAAACTTGCCTGCAGAAAGAACAGTTTTTCCCTTGTCACCACTTTTTAATTACCTTCACTCTTCAGCAATGTTTATTGTTTTAAAAAGTGATGATATAGAATTGTAATAAAATCTAAACATATGCAAGTGAATTTATACATTTTCTTTGTTCTTGAGAATTGACAACGAAAATAATAAACACTATTTATTTAATATATTATTTATTGGAGTGGTTAGCAAAACATTTCCTCTGTGTTCCAAACATAAGAAAAAAGTTCAACATAGACAGGCATTTCCAAAGAGCCACCACTTTTTAGAACAAACTCATTCATTAGGTGCTTCCTTGAATACTCATTATCTATCCTCTTTATTCTACTAATCTTCATTTCCTACTACCTCCTCTTTCATTCATATCATTCGCCTTGTTCATCATAAGCATTTTAACAGTAACGCACTATCTTGAGTGGCTCTCAAAATTTGTATTGGTTGAACTTTAGTATGAAAATATTCAACAATGTTCACTCATAGAAGACTGGAAGGTACAGCACCTGAAATGAAAATAAAAACAACCAACATGAGGACAACAGTTTTAATAAATCAGTGTATAATAATGGTAATTCCTCATTTCAGAAATTCACACAGAAATTAAAATAATGTGTGACATAAATTATAATTAACAATATTTTTTAAGAATCTGAACATTTTTATTTAAAGAATTTGTTGATTACTGAGTTCATTCTTTTCATTGCTTCTGTTGTTACAACAATTTTGGCTAATACATTCTACAGCCTTCTTCAGATGTACAATCCATGGAGTAAGAAAGAGATCTCTTTTATCTATACAAATTTATGACAGACATGAAAGAAATGGTCATTGATATACCAATTGGTTTGACTCATTCTTAGCAACACGAGCCACACAGCTCATATCAATCTTAACAGCCCATGTAACTTTAGTAAACTTCAATTTCATATATTTTTATACACTGTGTGGTTATTCTTTGTTAAAAGGGATGAAACTACAGAGCAATTTGAAGTACAAATAAACAAGGAATCACCAGTATCATATTACAGAGAATAGTGTCATCTGTGAGGCTCACAAGCAAGGCAATAAAGCCACTAGGACACAAGAAGTTACTGAGTGTTAGGAAATATTTGATAAACTAATATTAAGAAGAGAGTGCAATAAAAGATTAAAAATTAAGACAGAAGATGATGATTGATATTGCATTTCAATTATTGAAGATCAAAGTTGACTGGGAAGCAAGAAACTGGAAGAGAGTTTGACAAGTGAGAAGTGTGAGAGAAGAAATTGTTAACATAGAACTTATGATTACATCTAGCTATTTTGACTGTAAATTGATGAGATTTTGCTATGAATCTAGTACTGTGCTTAAATTCATAAAATCTAGGTTGAGGAAAGTTCAACAAAACAATGGCTAAAATGAATCAAACCAGTTACCATTTCTTTTCAGTTAGCCACCTACTTCTATAGAAAAGGAAGGAACTTATCTCTTTCCATAAAAAGAAAAAAAAAAGAAAAAACCAGAAGAAGGTTGGAGAAAGGATTGGCTGAAATATGGTGTTAACAAGGAAGCAACACAAAGAAGGAGCTCAGTATTCCAAGCAATTCTCAGATATGCCAATTTAGCAGTTTCACAGCTAGCAGTTAGTGCTTCTAAATCAGCATCTTTTTTGGTTTTATTTATGAAATAATAAACATTGATAAGAAAAAATATCCTGGTGCTTTTTTTACAGGAGCTAAAGGCATCAAAAAAAGAGCTAGATCTTGTTTTGAAAATGCTAAATTGGCAACTCTACTCTTGGAATAAGAATGACTTTTCTCAACATTACACAAAACATCTTATTATTTTAAAATAAACTTTTAATATCTTGATAATTTTCTATTTCAGGATTTGTGGCAGATATGACCCAGTCCTACAGCATGTCTTTCTTGACAGCAGGCAGTATTGCTGTTGGGACAATGATTTTTTTGCTGCTTGCTGTGATATTAACAAAACAGTTACACATGCTCAAGAGAAGAGTGGTAGCTGAGGACAATGAGGAATTGAGCAGTGAGATCATCACACAGTAAAAGTGTAGATATTAATAATATACTGGATTCAACACTGCATGAACACTGTCAGTGCCATGCTTCGAGAGATCTTCTTGGCCTGAAGATCACTTAAAGAATGAAACTGACAAACACCATGAAGTGTTGATTTTTATGTCCACGTGGTCTGTATCTACAAATGCTCCATTTGCAATACTGAGTACTCTTCCACCATATATATATGGCAAATTTTAGACTAATATATGTGTGTGTGTGTGTGTGTATGTGTGTGCATGAGTTTGTGTGTGTGTGTGTGTGAATGAGTTTATATATATATATATGTGTGTGTGTGTGTGTGTGTGTATGGGGGATGTATATATGTACCTATATTTGTGTATCAGAGGACAAAACACATCAGCTAAGATAAGCTTTTCTTTTGTCTTTATATTTATATATACTATATATATATATATATATATATATATATATATGAGGGAAAATGTATGACAAAGTGGAAAAATTTTCTCGTGACATGTTTTTGTCCTTTAGGACTTCATCACATCAAACACGTCAGCTAAGATAAGTTTTTCTTTTGTCTTTATATATATATATATATATATATATATATATATATATATATATATATATATATATATATATATATTGATGAAAAAATGCATGACAAAGTGGAAAAGTTTTCTCGTGACATGTTTTGTCCTTTAGGACTTCATCAGACTAAAATTGTTATGTTGGTGCAACTAGCCATGTGCATTGATAAGGGATGCTGGGAATTTTAAATTTAATTTTTTTTTTTTAGTCTAGCCAATTTCACTTAGATTCTTCTTTACATCACTTTTGTCATTAGATATCCCATATGATAATGGAAATTCTGCCCGGAATTGTGAAATATTATAAGAGCCAGAGCACAAATTTACTGTGGATAACCTTGCAATCATGGCACTCTCTAAGCATTTTTGTTGTAGTGAATTATTTTCTCCTTTGATCAGAGTAGCATTTTTTATTTCAAAATTGTGGTCAGTCTTGTTATGGTGGGCAACCAATGTATTTGATGTATTATTTTGTAAAATGTCCTTTTTGTGTTTATATAATCTTTTATTTAGATTCCTTGACGTATTTTTGTGACAATTATTACAGGTGATCAAACAAATTTCTCCTTCAAGTTTAAGCTTATTGTTTTCTTTAGTATTGAGTCAGTCTTTTATTGTTTTAAATGTATTTGTGACAAATTTTATGCTGGGTTTGATAGATTCTCTTTCAATTGTCTTACATTTTTCCCCAATATTGTTCTTGATATATAAAAATATATATCTTTATGTATATAACTTAAAGAAATCCCCCCATATATATATATATATATATATATATATATATAATATTAGTGGACCCATACATATGCAAAATATATAAATATATATACATAGATGCATACACATACATATATATTTTTTGAATAAAAACATCCAAGAGGATAAAATCCAGGTAGAACTCAATGTCTGGGACAGAGTAAGGATATAATAAAAAGGCTTAAACACTAATATTCCATGGTCATAATTTATTCCATTGGAATCATAAATACGATCAATTCATTAGACCTACAAATTCAAAAATTTTGAATTTGTAGGTCTGATGAATTGATCATATTTACAATTCCAATGGAATAAATTATGACCATGGAATATTAGTGTTTAAACCTTTTTATTATATATATATATATATATATATATATATATATATATATATATATATATATAAAATATATATATATATATGAAAAGATAGCATTCTGTGTCTATTAAATTTAACTTTCATCATTTTCCACAAATCTGCCTACTACAGTTGCAAAAATATTCAAAATCAAGACTATGTCTGAGCTTTCAACTCACATGAGTCTTCTTCAGGAATATGGATACAGGATTCTGTTACGTTTTATTTATTGGATTCAATTTCAAACAAAATATAACAACAGTTTCAACAAATGATCTAATGAAACACTTAATTTTCTTTCCTTCACTTTATTCTTTCACTCCTGAACATGAACTATGTGTGCTAAAAGATTGCACACAGCCTTGATTTTTTGGAACTGTAAAGTTTGCAGAATGTGATTTGCAATTAAGAAAAGATGATGAATAAATTCAGTAAGCATATAATGTCTATCCTCTTTATTAAAACTTGTTTAGAAGAACAATTCCTGCCTCTCTCTCGCTCTCTCTCTCTCTCTTGCTCTATCTATCTATCTATCTATCTATCTATCTATCTATATATATATATATATATATAGTTATATGGTTTAAAATTTGCTGTACTTATAGTGAGAAAATACTCAGAATTGGTGACATGGTGTTTTTAGATATGTGGGCATAATAATCAACAGTGCATAGTGACTGTCAATTTCACACCTCAAATGATGTTCAAATTGCTTCTTCTGAAGATCATTTGAAATGTGAAACTGACAGTCACCAACTGTGTTGTTTTCTATATCCATGATATATATATATATATATATATATATATATATATATATATATATATATATATATATATATTTTGAGACTATCAATTTTGTTTTTGTTTTCAACTAAAATAAAAGTATCATCTACATATTTTTGGTTTAGTAACTTTTTTAAATACCTTGTTTTCTATGCTGGGTATGTAATAATGTTGCTATTGGTTACCTTAGAAAGAAAAAGTCTAATATGGTGATCTCTCAGATATTTAAAAAAAAAAAAAAAAACAAGGTATTTAAAAAAAGTTACTAAACCAAAAATTTATGCCCATGATGTAGATGATATTTTTATTTTAGCTGGTAACAAAAACAAAATTGATTTATTTATATGTGTGTGTGTGTGTGTGTGTGTGTGTGTGTGCAAGTGGGTGTGCTTGTGTATTTGGGCAGCAATCCCTCTTTAATATGCATTTCATTGATCAAGACTGGCAAGATATTTTTGTTTAATTTTTTTTTATGTTTTTTGTATGCATACAAAAATGTATAATATAAACATAATAAAAAAATAAACAAAAGTATCTTGTCAATCTTGTTCAACAAAGCATGTATATATATATATATATATGTGTGTGTGTGTCTGTGTGTGTGTATGTGTGTATTTGTATGTATATGTCTGTGTATGAAGTGCCTACCAAATTTTGAGGAATTTCAGACACAAAATGTTTTTCTCCCAAAAATAAGATGACGAAAAAATGAAATTACTTATTTCCAAATCTGTGTTATTGTATGAATATATCCGACACAATGAGTAACTTAATAGATGGATAGATTAAACAATCTGTTTAAATTCCTCAAAATTGTTGGTAGCACTTCATATATATATATATATATATATATATATATATATAAATAAAAAAACAAGAAGAAAAATTATTCTTAGTCAATGCATTTCATCCTCTGAGGGACTTTATCAAGACAAATGTAAAGGTCTACTTTGTTGCATGTATTTATATACAAAAGCAAGGATGTCATTGGTTTATCAAGGCTTTTAAATTTGAGAACATTCATGAATATTCATCTGGTCATTGAATGAATATTCTCATAGCTAAAAGACATTATAAGCCAACAACATCCCTGCTCTTATATCTAAACCCATGCAACAAAATAATTCCTACATTTGCTTTGATATGGTCCCTCAGAGGATGAAACACATTGGCTAAGAATAGGTTTCCCTATTGTCTTTTTATTTATTTTGTTCCTTTACAGATACACTCTATCTGAAAACAATTTGCATATATATGTATATATACATATAAATATCTAATCAAACAACTGTCCACATATATATATATATATTTGTATATATATATATATATATATATATATATATATATATATATATATATATATATATATAACAAATTTTTCAATTTTATTTTTTTATTATAAAAATTTTTATATATTTCCATACACACAATTTCTACAAGCATGAATATTAAACTGCACAAGCAGGAATTAATTAGACAGTTTTTAAAATATACCAAAAAATAAATAAAACTCTCAAGACTCTTGCAAAAAATGAAAGAGGGGATGCAATAGTTTCAAATTTTGAAAAGAAAAATTTTTATTTAAACTGCCAAGAAAAAAAAAATGACACTCACCTTAATTAAAACAATGTTCATTTTAAAAAATTCAAAACTTTGTTTTTCTTGGTTGATTGAATATCTGGGGACACCTGCTTTTATTTCTTATCCCCTGCTTTTTTTTTTCTATTTTATATTATTCTTTATACTTTTATACATTTTTTTTTTTAAATCAATTTTGCATCTCTTCTGTAAATGTGGCAAAAAACTTTGAAGTTAAATAAAATCTTTTTTCTTTCTCAGTGTAATGACTATGTACTGATGATTTATGTAACAAGCAAGATTGAAATAAAAGAAACAGTATAAAAAAATGTTGTTTTTTTTTCTGTCAAGTTTTTCCTTTGCTATTTTAACAAGTGCTGTAGAATACTAGTATGTTTTGATAAAAATATATCATCATTATGTTATGGGTGACACCTCTTTTGTTGTGATGTACATAGACATTTTATATTAAATATTCATGGGTCCCTGGAACAATTATCCTGCAAACAATATTGGTGACCTCATGTAAGGTTGGGTAAAATTGAGAAACACAAAACAATGAATTAAAAATAAATGTGAATGCATGTTATTAACAAAAGGAATTACATGTGTAGACAATTGAAATGGAAGTTGCTACAATAATGGTGTAAAAATCAGTAATAAATTGTAGACAACTGAAATGAAAGGAAAAGACAGTAAGTATGCTTGTTGTGTGTGTGTGAAATAATCATGTGTGGTAAAACATGTGTACATATGTGAGAGAGTTCAAAAGTCAACAAAGGACCAAGGAAGTGAACATGCACCATTGACAGCTTTCTTATTCTACATTCATCTGGAAGCAATGATTAAAAAGAGTAAGAGAAAGAATATGATTGCCTTTTTATAGATTTAGCACTCTCTAACATGTTTTTTGGCAGAACCAAGTGGGTTAACCCTATAGTGGGTCAGCCAATTTGTATTGGTTATGAATAGAAATAAAAACTGATCCTCTACTATTTTTACAATATCAAATGTAACAAAGACAACAACAAGAGAAATAATCAAGTAGAAGAAATTGTGGATTTGTTCAACAATAAATATTTTTTATAAACACAACAAATACATAATATATAGTGCAAAAGTTGATAAACACAATAGAGTTCTTTGGTGTGTGTTACTGAAAGAATTTGAGTTACTGTACTGTATGTGTGAAAAATGACATGGTTTAGTTAGCTATATTTGTTTTTATAAGAAAATTAAACAGATGTTTTTTGTGTAATAAATAGAAAAAAGTATTGTCTTAATAGTATTGTTCTACTTGATTATTTCTCTTGTTGTTGTCTTTATTACATTTGATATTGTAAAAATTGTAGAGAGTCAGTTTTTATTTCTATTTATAACCAATACAAATTGGCTGACCCACTATAAATTGGTGATCCCAACGTGATTCGAACACGCAACCTTCTGATCTGGAGTCAGACATGGTATTGTCACCTAGTAAAGCTTTCATCTTTCTAAGCAATTGGGAAGGTTTATAGTGTCCCAAATGAAGGTTATTAAACAAATCGTGCAACCGACGTTCCTCTGATTTGCCCGTGCGGTATAGTATAGCATCTTTCAAAGTATCATACAGTTTCTCTGCTGGCACTTCACTGAGGAGGTCTGCTACCTCTAATGCTACATCTGAGGAAAGTTTCTCAACTACAAAAGCATAACGGGCATGTTGGGACGTGACCGTTCTTGCATTAAAAATTGCGTTTAACTGCGCAAACCACAACCCACACAAGTCTCACATTGTGGACCATTGACATTTGAAAATTTAACTGTTATGGATTTGATTATCCAGAAAACATTATGGGGAAAAGAATAACTGCAAAAGATCATTTGGTCAGTGAGAAAAGAAGTTAGCATACTTAGACATCTATTGCATGTAAATATTGTTACTCTTTTAGTAAACGTAAACATTCTAGAATTGTAACACTTTTGAGCTGTTGGAGAACCACATTTACTGCAACCTTAGTTGCAGGTAGTGTGTCTAGGTCAAGATAGCCTAACAGAGCCCAACCCTCCCCAGGTTGGTTTGAATTCAGATCTTTCCTTTTCCTACACTGGTTGCCAACCAAGGCTATAGGGCCTAATCTGTCCTGCTATTTACTCATAGATGTGTGGGAGAGAGGAAAGATGGATTCATATCTTTGCCAAAATAATCCACACATAAGTGAATGTAATGAACTTGACTGGAATTTGAGCTCTCCAATTCCTCAATCTGAACCGTGTCTCCATTATATATAGAATGATTAAATGAAAGAACATATATATATATATATATATATATATATATATATATGTAATGTGTATGGATATAAATGTAATGATACATACATATATATATATATGCAATTTTTATATATATTATTTATATATTATATATGTGCTCAATATCAGTGATAGAGCTAACATATTTATTTGGATTGATGTGAGTTTGTGACCCTGGGTTTCATGTCCTTTGCGTTTGTCTGACAATCACAAAGGCCATGAAACCCAGGGTCCCAAACTCACATCAATCCAACTATATATATATAAGTTAATAGCTTGCCACTTATATTGGAGGATACCTGTTTACTAGGACAGGTAGCTAATCCCTATTGCAGACCTTTTCTCAGGTACATTTTTGTGTTTTTTCAACACCCACAGAGTCCACCTGTGGTTTATAGTGCAACTATACTGAGCAGATCTTAGTTACAGTTTCTGGGAGAGAAGCATTTTATTTAGCATGATCAACTATCTGAACAAGGTCAGTACGCTCAAACCCTTGGGCACAATGACTTGTGACTTTGTGCTAGCCCAGCCATTGACGACCTTTAACTGTACCTTTGCTTGATCTGGATCTTATAAAGGAAGAGGAGAGTATGAGGAGTCAGGTACTTACTAGAGTAGTACAGGGAGCCAAATCATTTTACCTGCATCTATAGCAATGGATTGTATATAAGTGTTCCACTAGAGGTCGAGTGTGAGTTTGAGGCCCAATATTCTCTCAAGACATGGTGCCTCCTCGAGTGGACACCCATTCATCAGGACTAGTGGTAATTTGTGGTGTGATAGATAACGGCTCAAAATTTGAACTATGGGTTAAATAGTAAGACTTATCATTCTTACCTCCTAAAAATTATTGCAATTAAAAATTTATTTTCTGACTTTAAGTAACCTGCAAAGGGTTGATAATCCATAAAT